GGACCAGTCAGTTTCATGCCATCAGTCCCTTTCTTGAGCCAACACTACTGGCTTTGTCTTAAAGGGGGACACAGGCCAGCTCTGCCCTGGGGTGGGTGGAAAGACAAATGTGGAGGCTGGTTCAGGAGCAGGAGCCAGGACAGGAGTCACCCTGGTGAGCACGAAGAGCTACAGCTGCCCTGCACTTACACCGCAGAAGAGCCCTGGAGCAGCTTGGCCTCAGCTGGAGAAACTGCTGTGCCCTAACTCACAGCCAGGACCTGAAAAGCTTGTGGGGAGAATTCTGCAATATGGCAGTAAACTGAGGGTTCCAGAGAACCCTGTTCCATCCACCCCTTAAGCACTTGAAACAGGATTTTCTTAAGTCATTCTTCAGTGTATACTTTTTTACCATCTTGCTGAATGAACATAGCATAACTACATGAATTTTACAGCTGTAGGACATCATTAACAGGAAAAAAGACCTTCACACCTTTTGCTTCAAAGCCACAAATCCTTCGTCCACATCTTTCAAATAGAGTTTGTAATTATCTTTGCAATGCAGTGGCTCACATGTTCTCTGTAGCCATTTTATGGCATCACTGCCAATCTTAATAACAGAAATCTAACAGGCTACGCAACATTGTGATTTATGCTTTAACTGCAAGCAGTAATATTTTCTCTAGTTAAGTGAAAGTTTTTAGAAAAACTGCAAGACTGCAGTGGTTAATTGCATAAATTTAATAGGTTAACAGAGATAGAAACTCTTTTACTGATTAACCCAGAACTACAGATGGAGTAATGTCACCATATCACAAGGAACATTTAAGTTAAGAATTGCAATAAAGTAGATTTGCAATTCTTGAATGCATGTGATTAACAGATTCAAACAAATCATGCTACTAGTATGTTAATTATTGCTTGCCCTAAAACACTGATGATTAAATTGAAGTGTTTAAGAGAAAAACACATCCCAGGACAATTACAAAACAGAAAAAGAGTAATTAATTATTCAGAGTGCTATTGCCTGCTAAAAATATAATAACAATAGAAAATATATATATATTAATAATATGAAGAGCAATAATCATAAAAATACTAATTTTAAGAGTTAGGGACACAAATTTTCCAATGTGAAATAGAGGAATCTACTGCATAGCAAAACCAGGATACTGAAGATACTGCCTCAAAGTTGTGGCAGTAGTGAGAGACACAAGAACTGTCTAATTAGTCATTTATGAACTCAGCTTTTATGTAGGTGTATTAGAGATGGGCGATACACTGATACCATGTCAATGTCATGTTCCAAATCTGTTGATGCAACTGTTAAAAAACAAAAGAGCCCACCAACCTACTAGAAAGCCATGAATGCTAATGAAGGCAGGTGTTCAGGGAGTGTGAGTCCTGTGTCTTTCTCTACAGTGTCTCCTGCAGCCATGTTTCTCCCTGCATAAAGCAGCATTGCTGTGGCTCTCTCACTGCAGTCCCCAGACCCATGGTAGGGGATGCCTGCTCCTACGCCTCCCAAGGGGGCTCCTGAGGGGTGTCAGTCATGAGCAAGCAAAGCAGGCATGGGGACACACTGGTGACCTGCCCTGCATGATCACATTGCTCCCTGGCCTCACCTGCTGGAGTCACCTGCAGGTCCCTGCCACAGCACAGCTCAAAGATGCACAATGAGAGTAGCCATGGGGTAGGGTTTGGTGAGCACAGAAAGGGTGAGCACAGAAAGGGTGAGCACAGAAAGTCCTCTTCTCCATTTTCAAGTTCCCCAAGATCCCCAAATCTTCACCCATGAGCTTAAATGGTGCCATAATATTTCCCAATAATGTGATAGAGCTTTTTCTGGTAACAGCATGAGATATTGAGATAGTATCACCTATTTTTAGTTCTGCTTATACTCAAGAGCAGTTTCAGGAGTTTGAGTGACAGCTTTATTGCATATATGGTTTAAATATCATGCCTAAAACTTGATACTGAGTAACCTTGGTAACTTTATTTTACTTTTTCTTTCAAGGACCACTCTAGGATGGTTAGCCATAACAAGACAAGTGGCAATGGTGATGGCACTAACTGTTAATCTCTTCTTCACACAGGATTTATCAAAATCTCTTAGAAATTCAGAATAGTTTCTCTGCTTAAAGAACTTGCCTCCAAAAAGTTGAACCTAAGGGTTATTTTTAGAGTATTACTCATGAGTACTGAACAACTAGAAATTCATTAAACAAAAAATACCAGCCCCAAACTAAACAAAGCAAACCACAATTAAAAAAAACATAAAATGTGTTTACTTACAAAACAAAGAACTTAAAAAGTGGTGTAAAATTAGATACTAAGCTTGTTAGTCTGCAGTCAGGACTATTTCAAAATCCTTCCTCACACACTTACATTGTGTGTATGGCATTCCTCTGCCATATGCTTTGCAGGGAAATACAACATCAGAAAAAAAGGGTTAAGGGAAATGTGCAAAACCTAAGGTGTCACAGATTTCTCAAGGTCAACCTCAGGAGTTAACATGCAGCTAGGTCTCTACTCTTTAAAACATGAACTATATCCTTTTCACTTGACCATCACGACAACCACGCTGTATGTTTTTTGGATGACTAAGAAAAGGAGAAACTACAACCGTAAAAAGAATGAGACTAAAATGAATTTGAGATATCTTCACAGAAATCTTCCCAGTAACAATGTCAGACAAATGTTTGCAATGCATTGTTCGCTGCCTTTTTTTGGTATTTGGAGAAAACACACCCTAATTCCTAATGATCCTGGCTGAGTTTATTTCTATTTCTGAGAATTTTTATTAACAGCAAGTCACTAACTGAGCAGGAAAATGAAAATGAAGCAATGTCAGTAATATTTGCAGGAATGACCAAGAAAGGTTAACTCATGAAAATATAATATTTCAAAAGGAAAAATTCCATAATATGCAACATTGGAGGGTAAAAACTGAGAAACTACTAAATTCAATGAGAACACTGTGAGAAAATAAAATAATCTAATCCTATCATTCTGCCTCCTCCCTTTTCTTACTGTTGAGAGCCTTTTTAGAGTTTAAAAAACCAAATTTAAAAAATTTTAGTTAAACTTAGCATGAAATTAAAGAATATTGACTAAATATGCCTTTCCAAAAAAAACTCAGTTAAAACCTGTGTTAATTTGAATTTCTTTTAATGGAAACAAAATCTCCTGCAAAAGCACATCACCAGTAATGAGTTATTTGAAAATAAATTAATAAAAAATGCAAATCTTTCTTGATTGTGTGTCCCATAATTGTTACCTCCTTATGGACATTTCCTGGTATGAAAAATGGTTGGTCATAGACAAAATTCTTTGCTACAACTTTATCAGTTTCTAACAAGAAGCAACATTCTATTAGATACCATTATTTATTATTTATTATTATTTATTAGCTATAAATTATAGTTTACCTTCATTCCTGTGTTGGAAGCTGGGCATTTTAACAGCTAGCAACATCTAAATGGAAACAAATGAACGGCTGCTTCTGACAAAATATGATAGTCATTTCAACACAACATTTCCTGAGGGAAAAATACACTTTTCTACAAAAGGACACAATCAAATTAAATACTTGCTTGATTTCATTGTCTTTCCAGAGACAAACATTAGACATCATTTTAAAGGAATAGAAAATCTCTATAGTAATTCTTGAGTGCAAGAATGCAGAATTTTTTTTGACTGTTGTAGCCAAAATATAAATCACTTTCTGCTGTGGTGTCAGGAAATATATTGCACTAAATTAATCATGAGCTACTTTAGAAAAGGAACAAAAAATCCACTGCAAAATTAAACAAATCTCTCTGTGCCTGTTTTCCATTTGCATTGTCATCACTTACCTTTAAAGGACGATGGAAGTGAGATGGGAATGTTGCTGAAATGCATTTAACAGACCCTGTGTGTGTGTGTGTTAGCTTCTCTAGTGCTCTCTATTGTGCCTTCAGCCATTGGAAAAGATAAAGTATTATAACCTGCACAAAATATAATCTTTACTCTTCGCCAGGCTCCTAGCACAGGGATACACCACAGCAAAGTCTAGAGGCACACAGACTACAAGCCAAGCTGTATGTCTTCTTCTAGCATTTCCTAGTCGCAGATGTATTCTGCTGGATTAGATAAAAGTCTGTCTCATTATGAAAAAAAGAGGAAAGGCAATTCATAAGGGAAATCGAGTCATTCTAGAAAGCTTTTCCTAATAAATCAAATAGTTCAGTGGATGTGCCCAAAGTGGGGAAAGCTGGGAGCACAGAAATCAGGCAGCTCCACCCACAACCATACAACTGTGACTCAGCTTGCTCTTACCTTTTATGTCAGGCAATAAAAAGAATAGACAATTGTATTTACTGAGTGAGGGGTAAATAAACTCATCCCAATTAAATAACAGAAAACATGTCTTTGTGGTTTAGACTATAAGCATTTTAAAGACAAAAGAATATTAAATAATTCACTCAGACAAAGATTCTAGATCCTCATCTGTCCTTCTTTTCTCCCAGGGCAGGACAGGCCATGCATGGAATTTTTTGTTAACTCTCCCCTTTAAACTCTCAACCCACAAACTACACCATCTAAGAGGCATTAGACATATTTAATATCTCTGCTTTAATAAAATAATTTTCAAAATGTTTCTGGGAAGACACACTTCTGTGGACCACAAGCAATAGCAACTGAAGTCAGCCTCAACTTTACAACTGAGTTTGAAATCAGAGGGAGTTTACAAAAATGTTTTGGAGTCTCCTCCCCCTCTTTCTTCAGTCTCCAAAAATACTTTTTTCTCAAGTTTATCACAAGCCTGCCTGCCTTTTTCACTGTTGGCTGCTCAGATCTCTTTGCTCAGGACCATCTTCTGATTCTGAATTCAGAAAACCTCCCATAATATAAGCCTGTATATTAATTCTTAGCAAAATCTCAAGACATGTTCAAGTGCTACTGAAACAGAGCCTACTACGTGTTTTTTCTCTTCACAAAGTAACTTAGTACCTCCCTCCACAGCAAGCCACACTTACCTGTAAAACGTGGTATAGTCCACCGTTGAATGACAGCTCTGGAACTCCCACGCTTTGAGTTTCTGGCATTCCCGGTGAGCTCGGAGTTTCACCCTGACTGTCCCATGACAGAGCTCGGGTACGGGTTTTCTCTGTGGGCGGCTGCAGAACTCATTGGACTCCACACGCCAGGATTCAGCAAAGTCATCCACATCAAACTTAAAATTCCCGTCCCCCCCAATCAGGTCATCTCGTTTGTGCCCATTGTAATTGCCACACAGACCACAGAGTTTGCCTTTCAGATGAGGTGCAGCCATGACTTCCACAAAACTGTCTCCATCCCATGAGATTTCCAAGCCTAATAAAAAGATAAGACAAAAATGCACCCAAAAAAAAAAAAAAAAAAAAAAAAA